CTGGAACTATTTATACAACATGCCTATGCGAAAAATAAACAAAACTTTTATAAAACGTTCTTAGAATATCACTGCATGACAGCGAATACAGTTGGTGAAAATAAATCTCTTAAATCTGTTCTCTTTAAGAATTTTATCTGCCATAATTGAGCTCTTACAATAGTAATACACATTATGCGAGAAATAATCCTCCTTTTAGTCATATGAACTTCCTAGATATTTGGACTGCTTCCAGTGAAAATAAAATATGATTTTGGAGAATATATATGGCACACTGCTACCAAAAGTGACAAATGAAAATTATGATTCCACTTTCACGTCTAGTTAAGTTTTAAAGAACCTCATTGCTTTGTGATTACTTTTTTACAGCAATTTGTTGCGTCACTTAAGAAGGGAGCTTAAAGAGTGTTTTTCTGTTGCAAATATAAAAAAATATTCGTTGTCTCGAAAGCAAATAAGAAATACCGGTTTTATTCTAGTTTTTTTTACTTACCCTTCCTTGCATAAACAACATAATAAAAATTTAATATTACTGTTCCCTGCTTATAAAAATGTTAGTTCAGTTACTTCGAAATTAAAAGAAACCGTTACGTATTTTCTTGGATAAATTAAAAACTATGTATAACTGTGAAATTTTGAAGTAATTGATGACGTAATAAAAAACCCGCCAAAAGATAATTTGAAAGACAAATGACAGAGGAAGAAACCTACATTTGTGTATTCTACAAGCTAGGAAACTCTAAAAGTACATTAAAGTAATCATTGGTCAGAATTACTCGATATTACATTTATAAAAACAATTATCCATCATAAATCCAAGTCAGTGGTAAAAAGGCCACAAATAAATACCTACTTTAATATAACATAAAACAAACTTCAAAGAAGCAAAATTCTTTTAAGTCATTATAGTAAAGATCTCACAACGAAAATGAAAAAAGGAAAAATACAATTTAAAGTACACAACTAGTAAATATATAAAAACATAATGACTTTGTAAAGTGACAAAAGAAACGCCAACATTAAACATTTACCGTGAACGTTTTTGCATTTCAATATCGACAGAAAAGCTTATCTCCATAATTTGCATAGAGACCGCCCCTGCTTGAAACCCTAAGCATAATTAACTCAAAGGACACAGCTGAATCCACAGTTTTATCATTTTGTTATAAGCCCTTCTCCCACCCTGTCAGTCCATAGGTAAATTTCATTTTATTATTAAAATTAAAATAGTAATGTGAAAACTTCTAGCCGAAATAATTGAAAGCAATTTTCCCCCAAGAGTTTTATAAACCAGTACATAAACTCTTGTAATCAAAAAAAAGTAATGAACTTACTAATATACTGAATAACTCAACAAAAACAAAGCGTAATATTTATGCAACGCTTCAGTTTTGGTGAAAAACTGAAATCCTTCTCAGGATTCGAGGAGTGTTAGATTAAATCTAAAACTAGAACTTAACTTCTAGCAATTCCGTGTTTGTTACTAGACAAGGAAAGAACCAGCTTTGAACCACAGGGGAAGCAGTCAGGTTATGTTAGTGTGTACTTTTTATTTATTATTGTTTTTTTAACTCCCATATTTTCGTTTAAACAAAGTCAAATGCAGAAAGGCTGATTATTATTATTCATGGTGTCAATTTCAATGAACAATTTTCAAAAAAAGAACTTTGAAATGTAATTACTTTACCTTTGAAAAATATTCAGCCTTTTGTTATTGGATTAAATAACTATATGTTTGTTATTTTAGAAGTCTGCAGATGACATGTCACATAATCAATTGATCCAGTTGAAAAATAATATGCTGGGATAACTCAGAAAAACCACTAAATTATACGATTGCCAGGTAAAAATCCTGCCCATTCTGGAAACGACTTTTTATTTTGCAAAATAAATTCAACTAGTCCAGAAATATCCCAGCAGAAGTTGTTGAAATCAACTTTCACATTTAATGAACTGGTGATTGGCATCTTCCTAATTAGTATTTTTAGCCCGTCCTAATTAGGTTACAATATCCTCTGCAGATTTTTCCGCCCCAAACCAGTTCATGATGCACTTTATGCTACCTATCAGATATAGTTACTGCAGAGAAGGGCATCTTGCCAACATCTCCTGACATGATGAGGTCGTTCTAATAATCCACTAATGGGCGGTAGACTTAATTAATGCACCTCTTGCACAGCGCTCCCTATATTCCTTTGAACCTGGTAATAAAACTGACATAAAGGTAAACGTAAACCGCCCCCAAACAATTAATTGCTAACGCTGGCACTGGATCTAATCGGTCGCTTTTATTTTGAGATAATTCCACGAGTGATTGATAGGGCGGATAGTCAACGTCAAGATAAGGGTTCGATTAAATTATGGACGCATGTTGTGTGCAACTGAGCCTCAACGCACGAACATGTAATCGTTTCAACACTCTAATGCAAAGTAACTAAATTATTTCGCTTATTTTTTTCCAGGTTAATCGTGGTCAAGTTCCAACAGAATAGTGTACAACCTAGAATAAGTGATTAATAGTGATAATTAATAATCTTATTGATTTGGAGACTTCATTAAATTCTGAAAAATAGCTTAGCAGAATTCTGTCCTGTCAGTGGGAAAAAAATTCTGAGAGTATTGACTTTGTGGGAATATCTTCGACCTCATCAATCAAATTTGATTCATGTATAATATCATGCTTATATATTTGTAATGTTTTTCCCCAAAAGATAAATTGTTAAAGGTTAGCAAACATGTATTTAATGCGGTAACATATCGTATATATAAAAATCCACTTGCCTGCCCAAATTGCTTTATTGAATGTAATTAAATAAGAAGTTGTTATAAATGGAGACTTATTAATTAACAGTGCCACAGTGGGATAACATAAATCACAACTTGAAGCAAGTATACACTGCAGTTTTCTTACAGAAGTTGTTTTTTCAGTGTAAATCCTGTAATTGTAATAATAGACTGGAGGCGTTTAATAAATAGATTGCTCATAGTCGAAGGAAAAAATATTCCTTAACTTCCTGTGCCATTTATGAACCGGATAGGGTATTTAGATTAACTTTAGAATAAAGGTCATAAGACGCTTTGACATAACGAGAGGCCATACGTGGTCATACGTGGTGCCTGTATTCAGTAAAATTTTAGTAATCCTAGACCCACTGACATGACAGTTGTTGTTTGCAGGGTACTCACAAGTCTAAATGGTAGTACCTACTATATTAAAATATAAATATAGGTACCTGGAGACTAATAGCTAGTTTATAGAAAGTTGGAATAATCTTTATGGTTCTGTTTCATCTTGAACGCGTCTAGGAGAAATGCCTTAGTTTCATTGCTCTTACTGTGTCAACGAAAACATGTGAAAATAATATACCGTCAGACCTTGTCGATCCTAACCTTTCCAACAACTATATACTTACACTTAATTTAATGACGCCACCTAAAACTTTTGCTTGGTAATTACTATTTATATTTTATAAAATATGATACTCTTGTATATGTAGTTTATGAATCCACCTGGTTTTTCCCCTGGGCATCCAGAGGAAAAACCAGGAAATCTTGCAAACGTTTTAAAGTTATCATAAGCCTTGAACATCGTTAATCATTTTTTTTTTTTATTCAAAAACTATAATATAGACTGTCATTGAGTGCTTATACTACTTATAAGAAGAACTTTGAATAACGGTCAATTGGTTCAGTGTATATTTTTTATTTCCTAAAAAACGAGATTTGTTTTTTATTGTCCTTGAGGGACGAGGAAGTGGTCTTTAATAACATTAGACCATTTTTTATTTCTATATTATAAAGACTAAATGCTAAATAATTGTTATTACTATTACCTATACTGATTGTTACAAATAATTCTTTTAAAGAACTTTTTTACTAAATTATTATTTGTTGCTTTTAACAACTTGTCTAGTTTTAAAATAACTAATTCAACTCATAACTGCATATACATATTTTAAAATATATCCGGCAAAACGGCTTATCGGTAACGATATTCTAAAATTAAGTCCATTCCAAATCAATACAACTGGAGGTCAAACCTTACCGCTAAATATTTAAAATTTATTTATAATTTTAGCTCGTATTTGTAGACGAATAGTTCAATTCCAACACACCCAACAACTAAACCTTCATACAAAACAATAGAATGACATTCAAAGCTCTGTGTAAATATTTGACAGTATCTATTTAATTTTTTATGTATTCAGCAGACTCTAATACTAAATTGCATAACAGAGAATACAGACGTCCTAAAATTATACCTATTGATATGTTTAATAAATTAGTGTACCATAAGAATTGTTAACAAAAGCAAAAACAAAGAATGATATAAATGACAACTAAATTATGGTAATAAATAAATTTTATAAATAATTTATATTCTATTAAATTAAATGTTAGGGCTTACATGACTCCAGAGATCTTCCAAATTTTGAAAATCTTGAATATGTGCCCAAATCAAAAAGTAGCTCCCCATTTCCATCTGTCTGACGTCTGTTGACAATTTTATTTGACATATCTGTATAATCTCCGAAATTGTAGATGTATTTTAGGAATATTGTGGGTTATTATAAAAAACATAAGTTCGCCGAATAAAATTTTATAATTTATTTGGTTGTACCTTGTGGCAAGGAAATTTCTATCTAAATAAATTTAGATCAATGTTAATCGACGGTAGATTATTTCAGTATCATGTAGGTGTAATAATTGTCATATATGTACGTCACTATCTTTAATTATTTTCAAAAAGTTAAATACTTTCGCCCACTATGAAAATACATATTTCATCAAATTTTAGTTAAAATTTACACATCTTTAAACAGTGTGCAAACATTTCGTATTTTATGATGTCTTCTACAATTCACTACAAAAACCGTCTACCCAGAAAATTTTGTGTTGTATATTTCCTTTTTTTTGAGTTTTAGTTCTAACCCACCGGTTAGAATTGTAAACATTTAAACTGTATAAGAAGAATCAAATCTGATCCTTGTGTGTTTCAGATCCAAATATCCCGGAGACGGGTAAGCAGAGGCTCAAGTCCTCACGCGGAGACGAAGACTGCTGTTACACTCATTGCGGCTCGCCGGGAAGGGGCGGCAGCGGCACCGCCGCCGAGGTGCTCGGAGTGTGCGAGCACTGCCCAGGTCGACCTAACAGGAACAACGCCACCGACGCCGACGCCGACGTCGCGACGTCGACCACAGCCGCCCCGGGCGCGGCCGCCGGCAGGACTTGTAACAAAGTGTCACTACTGTGGACCGCATGGATTATTCTTTTAACATTTGTAGAACACACGCAGACCATTTATAACACATTACAATGTTTGTTAGTTCTGTGCGCGACCAGTGTGCGGACGACGCTGCTGCTGCTGATAACGACGTGGACAAAGACCAAGTGCGGACCGTGCTCATAGAATTAGGACTGTTAGGCGATATGTGTTCGTCCCGACGCCTGAGTGTGGTCTGCTCACGACCAACTACTTCGCATTCTTATCACATGGATGTGTTCAGTGCCCCTTTACATCTTTCTTGTATTTTTATATGAAGAATCGATCGCTTTTTTATTTCGGAAAACTTCGAATACGCCTGCTGCGTTAGTTCGGAGGAGATGTGAACGCAAAAAGTGGCTGTTAGGTTTTTTCGAAACACGTCAGACACTAGCTCCTTTTCGAGATTTTTTTAACGTCTGATAGACTATACCAAAACGAAAACAATCTCTTTTCAAATGCTGTGGACATTTTCACGGATAATTTATACAAATATATACACGTTTTAAAAATCCAACACCTGCAGACAGGGTGATGTGCAATTTTCTCACCACCACGATCCTGAAAATTGGGCTTTGAAAGCAAGCTATTGTCTACATAATAATTACTCTATATAAAAACTTAGAAATTTTTCTATAATTAATACTAAACTACTAAAAAAAACAAATGAAGTTATTTAATACACAGTATTTAAATAATTTCAGTGCATTCAATCACGTCCATGAAACGTCACTTTTTTATACTGAAATGTCAGAATTACTTTCTTGGACTTACTTGTCATTTTTTTGGACTGACTTGTCCCCTTTTTCTACTCAAATGTCGAAAATTTACTTTTGCCTCCTTGGCCTTGTGTTTTTGACCAACATTTTTTAAGTGATTTTTTTCCCTTAGTATAGGACCAAAGTAGCACTTTGGTTTTTATCAAATCTGCAGGACTTTTCCTCCAAAAAAATATTCTCTAACCTCGGAACCACTTACATAAACAACATTTTGTATGGTCGCCTAAAAAACGTTGTGTGTACCTCGGCCAAAGAAAACTTTTTTTTTTCATCTAATTTGTACGTCTCAGTCTGAAACTTCAGATCGGCCGAAAAAGTTCTTCTTTCTGGCCTTGATACACAAATAACTACTGTGTATTAATTAAAAATTCGTAAAATTAGGTACATCTTCTACAACGTGTGTCTGAAGGTGTCATATCAGAATATAGAAAAACTCGGGTGTGTGAGACATACTGAGACAATTGTTGCGCTCCTGTGTATAATAATTTCACACACTGAAATATTAGATTGTTATTAATTAGGGGTATTTTACACTTGTTTCACTGATCTAGAACTAATCGATACGCGGTAAGGACAGTTTCCTTTTCTCGTCTCTAAAACCTGTGCTGTTTTAAACTTTTCTTGGCTTTGAGGTGAAAATAAAAGTTATAAAGAGTAACACCGGCGTTACAATAAAAAAACGGTACATCTTTAAAACTTTTTTTTAGATGAAAACAGCATTACAATATTTACAAGATACGAAAGCCTAGTGTTCTCATAAATTTTCGTATAGTGAAAATGTGGCAGATCTTTAAATTGTAGCGAAACAGAGTAAATGTACTTTCTACGGGGTTTAAAGTATAGTGAAAGCCGTTATAGGCTGTCAGGAATAGATCTTTTCTAACAATGTTCATTCCGTTATTACAAATATTTTTGTAACTTGTTCAAAATGTGTTAAAGCTTGTTGGTATATTTACTCTAAGTTTTGTCGCGGAAGTTGGCTTCAGATTTGGATTTGGATTCATGTTTTACTGACTTAAATTAAGATCAGTTTGCGTTGGACTAAGTAGATAAAAAAGCTTCATACTTGAAATGAAATAAATACGTCGGGGTACAAATATCTAAAAAGAGCCTTCGAAAAAGGGAATCTATATCCAAATTTCAATGGGTTTTTAATATTGATAGTGTCAACTTACTAGGCGAGGGAACGAAATATTTGTTTTAGGTAAACATTTAAGTGGAGACAAATATAAAACACCTTTTGCTAATATAGTCTCTGGTTCGGTAGTCTTCACTTTTATAGGGTCACCATCTTTCCTAAATATCCCTGGTTTTATCGGAAAAATTAAACTCATGAAGAGGCTGCAAAAACTGCTGAAATAGTGACCTTATAAATGTTCATAATCAACTTATCCAGAGGCCTCCTTAGTGATTTTGAGGTGTGATTTCACATTACCCTCACACAGATTTTTTATAAATCATTTATAACAATTGTTGACTGACAAAAATGGTATTTTAATGCGTCAAGACTTTGTGGGGTCATTTAACTCAAAACATTGTGGTCTTATAGGCAAATTAAAAAATATAAAACAATCATTTTCAGCGGAATGATGAACTTTTCCGCTAAAGTCGAAATAATGCCACAAATATTAAAAAAAACTTGGGCTCTCGAGCTTCTGATTAGTTCTTTATAGCATCCACTTTCAAATTTCAACTAGCTTTCTCTTTTCACCTAAATTAATAATTAATGGCGTTGTCAGGAGATAAACTGTGGTCACTGTGAATCTTTAATATGTGAACCGATAACAGTTAATTGGTTGAAGTAATTGTATTGTGTAACCAGATGATGTGTAATCGGATCACCTATGCGGTGTCACTGGTGAATTCAGATCACAATTTAAGTTCAACTCGACAATTATCAAGTAATTTTAGTACGCCCATCCAACTTCACTTCAAGGATGGCTCAGTCAGAAATTATTTCACTGACACAGTACTCCACAATTTGACACATAGGACTTTGGTTTCAATAAGGTAATCATCCAAATATAAAAAGTTCACTTACAACGTTCATATTTAGCTTATTTAAGAAGTGTACTAATGTTGAATTCTTCAGTTTAAATTTGCATATAATCTAGACTTAAAATTGACTCTAAGTCAAAAAGATTGTTAAGTCCGCCTCTAATGAATTTTGTTCGTCATTAGGTAAATCTTACTTTTACTAATGCAATAGATTTTAAAAGCAAGTCTTTTCAGCGACTTTTTTTGTCGACGACAACGTTCTAGAGATGCCAAGTTTCCTTCACTTCCTCTATTACATCACAGTGAATCATTGTTGTCGTTTATTACTGTTATTCTCAAATGTTTCCTTATAAAGGAAAATTAGTTGCAAGCTGAAACCTACACTGATTCCTCGCAACGTAAAGGGAAATTTATTTGAACTGGGCATCTCCTGAACCAATGCTAATAATTTTTTCTTAAAAAAATCTTTATCTAACTCTCCTATATGTCTATAAATAAATTTACAACGTAGTGTACATCGTATAATGTGTCTAAAGATAGTGTTACAAAAATCTAGTCCAAACTTAAAGTAAATTAATTAATGATAGAAAATTTAAATATTTTGATATTTATAACAGTACATAGAAAACTACTGGACAAATAAGTTTAGCAGCAATAAAGAAACAGTATTAGGGCTTACCGAAATATAAAAGAAAGTGTTCGTATAGAGTACTGTCATTGTGATTTGTTGTAAAATAGAGAAAGATGTTAAACGTGATGCTAAACATAATTCTAGTTGTTTTTTATGTGAAATATTGATATACAACTTTTGAATTAAAAAAAGAAAAAAAGAAAAGAAACGTTTCTTAAATTTCGTATTTAGTTTAATAATAATTACATTATAAAGGGCATTTTCCACACTAGTTAAAAAAAAGAGATTAGATACCACTTGATTCACATCTCCTTCAGATTTAGAGTTACATAGAAATCGCTTCTCCCATTTCTGGATTCATTGTTTAAATGTTCAAAGATTTATGTTAATCATGTCGTCCAAGTCTTGGTCATGCTAGCAGTGAACATGTTCTAAGTAATTTTACCGGCCTGGGTTGGGGCCTGCTCCTCAAGATCTCTAATTGTGCCATTATCACTTTTGGAACGATGAAAAACAATAAGCAGCTCTATGACTGCCGATCATAAAATTGTATAAAAATATTTTAATACTTGTAAATAAGGAGCTTGAAAGGTCGTGGACCTCAAACGAATATTTGTCTGACACAAAAGCGATTCGATGAAAACTTGGTGCCGTTTTTATCTCTCTATTTTCGTTGATTGAAACTTCTGGCAGCAGTCCCACGTGAACAGACCACAACTAGCGGAAGGATTTTTTTTTTAGAAGAATTATATCTTCATGCACATAGAGTTGTCTAGGACTGCAATGTAAATGTAGGGTCAGAAAAATACCGACGCACAAGTCAATTATAAGTTTGGTAATTAAATTCACATATTGTTTGAATTCTCAGTGAACGAAAGAAAAGAACCGATATTGGTATTAACTGACTCTCATTTGTCTAATGGCTGTTGCGAAGTATATAATGAAGACTATATTATATTGTTGATGTTGAAGATATATTACTAATTTTTATTAATTTATTTTGATACTACAGGATAACTTTGTTGCAATACGTTCTTGTGACGCGTGTATTACTTTTAAATCGACTTATGGATCTACACGGATGTAACGTGAGAACTTTTGTTATTTTCTATCTATTCCGGCCAATGAATATCACTCAATGAGAGGAAGAACTCCTAACTAAATTGTTGATGTTATTAAATTTGCAAGGAGCTCCCGCAGCAGTTGCAATGCTCAAACTTGGATGCCACTGTAGATAGTTGCAACCCAGTAATTAGATTCCTTACTTTTGATCAGTGTTATCAACAAACGAATAACTTGCAACTGAGCGGTCAGGCGTTGGGAGCTTACGTGTAATAATTACAAAACGCCATTGTTAATATTGCTTTAGTTCTACCGTTTGACTATCATTGTTTGCAGAAAAGTTATGGCTAGGCTAAGATCGATCGAGTCGTTTGTCCAGACCTCCACCTCCACAGAATTTGATATACTTACGAATCAGCCACGAAGCAGTCACCTAGTTGCGATTATGATGATATACTTTGTTGATGTATAATTTACGTTTACGATATCTATTAGTTGACAACTTATTTGGCAAAATTAAATAAAATTACCTAGACGTAAAATGCAGAGCGAAAAGGTATAAAATATTGTTAAATGTGAGATCCTGTAGTTATATTGGAGCGTAGCCAGTTCGAACGGATCATAACGTAGCTGCAATTATACTTACATCTGATAGAAAGAACACCATTTTTAGTTTGTGCAAGAATGTTTCCCGACTGCCAACAATATATATTTTATGAGTGCTTAGTGATACCAACTGATAGTGTTATTTTAAAACAAAAAGAAACTCAGACATCAACGACAAATGGCACAACCTCTTCATATCAACAGATGACTTTTCCTGTGCGGCTACTCCATTTCTTCACTAATTCGGTTTAAATTGTTCACGACAGTTTCGACAAAATTGTGTTCAACATATTCCTAATTTTAAGATTTCTAATGTGTAAAACTCATTTTATACGATAACGTGCCCCTGGCGACACCCTTTATGCATCGGCTCAACACAATTCTAGGTGTAAAATGAGTTTTTCTTCAACTCGAACAGCAGCTTATGTTGTATCTCTTAAAAAAGTAGCTGCCATTTTGCCGCCAACAGCTAATAAAACCGTTGCTTATCTGTGAGAATCAGTAACGACTACTGTCAACCACGAGTATACAAAATTACCTGAAATACAACGTCCAAACTTTACAACAGCGCAAAAACTTGTAAGGTTTTGCTATAAATACAAAATGGCAGTATATTCAACGATTCCTT